CACCGCCACCACCACCACCACGACGCCACCACATCACCACCACCATCACCACCACCACCACCACCACCACCATCATTCACCCTCCGCATGGCGCTTGAGCAGCCTGGGCTCCTCCCGCGGCCGCCATGGCGGCCATGATCGATTCGCCCGCGCTCCATGTGGCGCGCCCTACAAAGGCCGCGCGCGGCCAGGCGGCCGTCCCTTGGAGTCGGCCAGGGGCGTGGCCTGCAGGCGCCGCGGCGAGATTGTCGCTCCCCGATTGCCCTGGCAATCGGGACTGGAGGCGGCGGCGCGGCGCGCGAGCTTTGGGAGTGGGCTTGGCTGGGGCAGGCCTGCGGCGCCAACCCGCGGCCCCTTGCGTGGTCTCTGGGACCACGGTGTGGCCGCGGGCTTGGTGGGCGCCCATGTTGGTCGAACTGCCGCTGCCCGACATACAGCCGCTGGATTCGTGGTATTTCGTTGCGTGGCAGGACCACCTGGTGCCTGCCACGTGGTGGGTCCCGCTGTACAGCGATGCGGGAGGAGGTGGACCCAGCCGTCATCGCGACGGTCTGGCGCGACCCCGACGGGCACAACGTACCGCGCCCGTAAACAAAACCCAACACCGCTCATACCTCACACGTTTCGCGCCCCAAAGCTAGGCCACCAAAAGCGTTGCACCCCAGGTGCTGGAGGAGGGAGTCGCAGCGGTGCGCGGCGTTTGAGGACCCAATCGTTGTGCCGCCAGCATCCGTAACGATCACCAACCATCAATAGTCATCACCAACCACCATCACCAACTACCATTAACAACCATCAACAGCCATCACAAAACAAAAGAGGACAAAAAGAGACAAAAAGAGACATAGCGACATGAAAAGAGACAAAAAAAGACAAAAAGGGACAAAAAGAGACAAAAGAGACACATTTGCAACTGCGCGCGCCTCCTGGAAGGTATGGAAGGTTGGAGGGCCAGGGTTCGACCGCGCGCAACGTCGCTCAGCGTCTGCCGCCCCTCCAGCGGCCGTTGGCGACGCGCCCGACGCTAGCTGCGCCCCGGCGCCGACGGCCAGATAGAGGACGGGATTGACGATGAGTCGAGAACGGAGCCCCTGAGTTGGCCAGTGCCAGCGCTGCAGCCGGATGAGCTGGACGCTGCTGGCGAGCGCCGCGGCCCTCGGCGCGTCGCGCCCTGCCGGCTGGCCGTTGCCCCGCCCCGCCGGGGCGCCGGGGCTCGCGGCCTCGGCGCCGCCCGCCAGGGCGCGGGCGCCCGTGCGACTCCAGTGCAGATCGCAGACCGGCGACGCGTCTTCGCGCCGCGCCCCGCTGCTGCCAGCCAGCCGACTGACCTCGATCGCGAGAATGCCTTGCCATCGTAATCTGGATGCGACGGGGGGCCAACCTCGGTGGCGACGACCTGGGGGCTCGCCGTGGCAGTCGCCCCCCAGCATGCCATGGTAGACCAGTCGAGCGACGCACCATGGCCATCATTGATGCAATATTTGCTGCCGCGCTAGCCGACCGTGCCAGGGGTGCCGTCAGGGAAGAACTTGGCCCGCTGACCTCACAGACCCAGGCCGCTGCGTCTTCCGAGCAGATGGGCGCAGTTCCATTTTGCGCAGCCGATGCGCCCCGCCAGGTAAGCCACGACCCCGTCCAAGATCCCGACAACGATGGCGGCGCGCCCGATGATCCCATCGAGGATACAGACGACGAGGGAAGGTGCATCCCGACATTTCCCGACGTTGCAACAGTGTGCTACCAGCCTTGCTCACATCCTGCGTAGCATCCATGGACAGTCAGGGCTTAGTATCGACAGATTCTGGAGAGTACGGTCTGCCTGGAAGGACCTTCATCAGGCATTCCGATCGCCTGCTCTACTTGGGTCGTCTCCCAAGGCATGCCTCCAGGCCCGCCTCGGTGCTCGCCGCTAGCACGCCAGTGCTCGCCAGTCCATGTTCCTGAGTGCGCTGCGCGAGCTGCTGGTAACTGTTCCGCATCCCTTGCACAGGGCCGCGGAGGGGCATGGCCCATGGCGGCGCCTTGTTTCGCAGAGGTTCCGAGGCGCGCATGCCAACGCGCGCTTGTACCCGGCTCCTTCTTCTTTTTGCAGTCGGTGTGTGTGTGTGTGTGTGTACATGTGTTTGTTTGTGCCACTCCTGGATCGCCACCGGCCCGCCTTGTTTTCCTGCTGGGGTCTTTGGCATACCGCGCCAGGGATCGTTGTTTTTTTTCCGCTCGTTTCAATTACGCGGCACCTTCCGCCAACGCGATTGAGGCTTGCGCGGCAGTAGAACCCCGCTAGGTCTGGACGAACAGCCGTCCGAACTGTTGCGCGTGTTTTTTCTCGCTCTCTCTCTCTCTCTTTCTCTCGCTCTTCTTCTCGCTTTTTCTTTCTCTGTCACTTTCTTTCTTTCTTTCTTTCTCTCTCTCTCTCTTTCTCTCTCTTTCTCCTCTGCCTTCCCCCCCCCCGTACTCCCCTCCTCCGTTTTGGTTCTTTCCGACTCCTGGTTTCTTCCTTCTCCGTCACCCCGCTCCGTCCTGTTGGTCTTCCCCGCCTCATGGTCCCATCCGCTTCCTTCCCCCCTCCCCCTCCCCATCCCCGTCCCCTCTGCTTCCCTCCCGTCCTCGTCCCCGCCCTGGGCCCCCCCTTGGAAACGCTGTGCGTGGCTGCTGGATCAAACAAGCGGCCTCCCGGCAGAAGGGGAAGGATGGTAGCAGAACGCGGAGGACGAGAAAAAAGAGGCGGAGGAGAAGGAGGAGGAGGGGGTGGGCCGAACACGGAGGAGGAGGAGGAGGGAATGGAGGAGGAGGAAGAGGAGGCGGAGGAGGAGGAGGAGGAGGGGGAGGAGGAGGAGGAGGAGGACAAATAAACATATGCGGATGATCATGATGATGATGATGATGATGATGATGATGATGATGATGGTGGTGGTGGTGGTGATGATGATGATGATGATGGTGATGATGATGATGATGACGATGGTGATGCTGATGATGATGCTGCTGATGATGATGATGCTGATGACGATGATCATGATGATGATGATGATGATGATGGTGATGCTGACGAGAATGATGATGATGATGATGCTGCTGCCGATGCTGATGAGGATGACGGTGATGGTGATGTCGATGTTGCTGCTGATGATGCTGCTGATCGTGATGATGGTGATGATGGTATTGAGGAGGAGGAGACGAATACTGTGGAGGAGGAGGAAGAGACGGAGGATGATTATGATGATGCTAAAGATGATGATGATGATGCTGGTGATGATGATGATGGTGATGATGATGATGATGTTGATAACGATGCTGATGCTGATGATGACTATGATGATGACGCTGATGATGATGATGATGATGATGATGATGATGATGACGAGGATGATGATGATGGTGCTGGTGGTGATGATGATGATGCTGCTGATGCTGATGCTGATGATGCTGATGATGATCATGATATTGATGACGATGATGCTGATGACGATGATGATGATGATGATGATGATGATGATGATGGTGATGATGATGATGATGCTGATGATGCTGATGATGATGATGATGATGGTGGTTTTGGTGGTGGTGGTGGTGATGCTGATGATGATGATGATTCTGATGATTCTGATGATGCTGATGATGATGATGATTTGATGAGGATGATGATGCTGATGATGATGATGATGATGATGATGATGCTGATTTTGATGATGATGATGATGATGATGATGATGATGATGATGATGATGATGATGATGATGATGATGATGATGATGAGGATGAGGAGGAGAGGAGGAGGAGGAGGAGGAGGAGGAGGAGGAGGAGGAGGAGGAGGAGGGAGGAGGCGGAGGAGCAAATATTGAGGAGGAGGAGGAGGAGGGGAGGAGGAGGAGGAGGAGGAGGAGGAGGAGGAGGAGGAGAGGAGGAGGAGGAGGAGGAAGAGGAGGAGGAGGAGGAGGAGGTCAGGCGGGGGGAGGAGGAGGAGAACGAGGAGGAGGAGGAATAGGAGGAGGAGGAGGAGGAGGAGGAGGCGGAGGAGGAGGAGGAGGAAGGAGAGGATGAGGAGGACGACTAGTGTAATTCCAGAATGCATCAGCGAAGCTGTAATACACCCTCTACGTTCCTGTTTTCCCGTGGGCCCTTGCAATTATTTGTTTGCATTGCGGGAAATGCCCCGTTGGAAGGCAATCGCCTGGCAATCACCAGTCGTGCCACAATCAATTCCGGAATTCAGCGCTGTGAATCAACGAGCCTGCTGCGTCCTGACAGCCCTAAACTGTGACAGAAACTCGTCCGGGAACTTCAGCACCGTAACTCAATGGGACTGTTGCGTCCTGACAAGCAGGAGATGGCCAGCCCAGTCGTACGAATCCTTGAAGCTGCTGCACACTTTCAAGACAAGTGCGCGGCGCTGCGGCGACAAGTACATGCTGAAAGGAACCGCCCTCAATCCGTGACGTTGTTGCACACTTTTATGGCGACTGTGCGCGCTGCTTTGGGGAGAACCGCATTTTTCGAAGGAACCGCCCTCCATCCGTGAACCTGGTGCAACCATTCAAGACGAATGTGCGCGGCGCTAAGGCGAGAGCAACATTTTGAAAACGGCCTGCCCTCAATCTGTGAAATTGTGGCACATGTTTAAGACGAGCGTGCGCGGCGCTACGACGAGAACCGCAGTTTGAACACCATCCAACACCCATCCGTCAAACAGATGCAGACGTCCAAGACGAATATGCGCGGCGTTTGGGCGAGAGCCATCTTTTGAAAAGGATCCGCCCTCCATCCGTGAATCTGTTTCAAATTTCAAGCGTCAGGATAATCAATGGTGAGGAAATCTCCGGCGAAACGCCCAACCCACCCTGCCGACACGCGTGGGGGTGCGAAAGGGAGGAATTAGTTACACGGGAGAGGGGTGGAGAAGGCGAAGGAGGAGGAGCTGGCGCCATCGCGCAGGTCCCAGTCTCTCATCCTCTCCCCCCACCACCATTCGGAGTGTGCGAGCGCCCCTCCTCCTGCTCCCCCTCGAGGTTTTGGACCGAAGCCGAGCCTGCACCTGCATACCGAACCACCACGCCAGGACGCCCCTGCAATGGCGATGCTCGCCGCCGCTGTCGCTGCCGCCCTCGCCCTGCCGGGTGCTGGGCCCATCCCTCGCCACCGTTCTCCCCCCCCCCCCCCATCAGCGGCGGGCCAGTTGATCAAGCGGTAGTTTACCTTCGGGAGCCCCCGTGGTCGCCACAGCTGGGCGCAGCTCGGAAAACTGTTGCGCTTGGACCCCGAGGGGGGTCCGGGGACCGATTTTGAGCTGCCGTTGTCTCACTCCCCCCCTTCCGATTTCCATTCGCAGGGGAGGAGGGGTGGCGGGCGGCGGGAGGAGGAGGGGGGCAGCGGCAGGACGAGCAGGATGAGCAGGAGCAGGAGGTACAGGAGCAGGATGTGCAGGAGGAGCAGGAGGAGGGACGAGAGGAGTTGAAGATGGAGGAGGAGCTGGAGGACGAGGAGGAGGAGCAGGAGGAAGCCTGCTCCTTCATCCCGTCATACCTTGGCTTTTTCTCCCTCCCCCTCCTCCCCCTCCTTCCTGTTCCTCCCTCCTTCCTGTCAACCATCTCCCTCCTCGTTCTCGCCTTCGTCGTCCCCCTCGTTCATCCCATCTCCTGATAGGTAACGCCCCCTGTCGCACCATCAGATCTACCTGTAGGCCAGGCTGGACGTTTTGTTTGATATTTCTTCACACTTGATCCCGAAGCAAACATGCACATTAACTCACTTACGAGTTCACTGTTCCGGGAAGCCTCCCAATGTCGCAAGGACGGAGGGCCGGTGGTTTGGAAAATGCGGCTCTCGCCTTAGCACTGCGCACATTTGTTTTGAATTCGCACCGGCATCGCGATCCAACACAGCAACGCTGCATGAGACGCCACGTGCAGTCTGAAAGGCAGGCACGGCTTGGGTACTTACCAGCCTGAAACATATCCCTATCCCTATGTTTGACATCACCTCACCTCGATGCCGATCTTAAGGATTCCCTCAGTTTTTGAGGGCCTATCCCTAAGATTGTCCTCGCTTTTTACTCGCCCATCTTAGGGATAGGGATACGTTCGAGGCTGGTTAGGTACGGCATGGCACGGTAGCTTTTTTCGCATTCTGAGCTCCGGGCGCGCCGAGCACGGCACGGCACGCCGGCGCGGCACGGCAAGGCACCGCGCGCGGGCGGCATATCTCTTCGCATGTTGGTCCCTCGGTGCCACGCGCACGCCACGGCACGCGGGCACGGCACGGCGCGGTGCGGCACGGCGCGGTACGGCAGCCACCTTTCCGCGCTCTGGGTTTTCGGGCACGGCGCGGTGCGGCACGGCGCGGTGCGGCACGGCGCGGTGCGGCAGCGCAACCTTTCCGCGCTCTGGGTTTTCGGGCACGGCTGGCACGGCAAGGCACGCGGGCGCGGCATGGCACAGCTTTGCGGGCGGCAGGTTTTTTGTCGCATCTTGGGCTCCAGGCGCGGAGCGCACGGCGCGGCACCCGGGCACGGCACGGCACGGCCTGGCCTGCGTTCGGCGACGTGTTTCACACTCTGGGTGTTTGGACAGTGTTCTTTACATGCACGTGGGGCACCAACACCTTCCCAGTTGAAAGAACTTTCCAGCAGCGGCAAGTATGGAGGATCCTTGGTTTTCAAGTCGCGGCTCCCGCCATCGCGCCTCGCGCATTCGCTGTACAACAATGAGAAGAACGGATGCTGCTTCGTTTTCAAACTGCGGATCTCACTTGATACTTCCTTGAGTAGAGTCACGGACGAAGAGTAGGCCATCTTCAACATGGAGTTCTCGCTGTTGCCTTCGGCCCACATTCTGAGCATCGCGCCGAGATGGTGCAGCACGTGCACGGATGCATGGCAGATCGCTTTCACATCGGTCTATCGTTGGACATTCGATGTGAAGTTTGCCATTCTGCATTTCTGCGTTTCCCTCATCTGAACGAGAGAAGGTATATTCCTGTACGGATCATCGTGTGGGGTGGCCGTGGGATGCACCCGCACATCGCAGGGGGGCCCAATGCCGTTCGCACCGCAAACATCGCCTGCTGCATCGTGTTTCCGCAGTGTGCAGTTTGCCATCCTGCATGTTTGCGTTTCCCTCAGCTCAGCACCGGCGGCAACCCACCATACTAACACTATGGGTGCGTCGCCCCCCAGGGGCGACGCGCGCACCGAGAAACCTTATGGTACATGCGTCGTGGCGGGCGCTTTCTGGCCACACCGCTCGGGAAACGATATACCAGAAAATGGGTATACTACTTGTTCGGGTCGGACGCGCGCCTCCAAGGAGGACATATAGTATTAGCATGTCTTTGTGCGTCCATAGACACCCACGAAGAGGAGGAGGAGGAGGAGGAGGAGGGGGAGGAGGAGGAGGAGGAGGGGGAGGAGGAGGAGGAGGAGCAGGAGGAGGAGGCGGAGGCGGAGGAGGATGAGGAGGAGGAGGAGGAGGAGGAGGAGGGAGGAGGAGGAGGAGGAGGAGGAGGAGGAGGAGGAGGAGGAGGAGGCGGAGGAGGGCGAGGGGCGGAGGGGGAGGGGGGGGAGGAGGAGGGGGAGGGGAGGAGGGGGAGGAGGAGGGGAGGAGGATGAGGAGGAGGAGACGGAGGATGGATCCTTCACGGAACGGGGTCCCGCCTGCGTGGCAGGCCCACCGGGCCCTCGTCGTGCCATGGGGGGGGGATCGATCTCCGCTGCGGGAAGGACGTCTGGCGGGCTGCCACCACCCACCAAACCACCCCAACCCAACCCGAAGGCTCAGATTTTCCCTCGATTTCTAGTGGGGGGGGGGTCCGGGAACATCGAAAAAACACATATGGAGCCCATACCCCTCTCAACCCGAAATTCGGGCCTTCGGGTTGGGTTGGGGTGGTCTGGTAGGTAATCAGGATGCATGCGAAGGGGACGCTTGCACCGTACACACTGTTCATGTCTAACTCTTCGAGAGTTCTTCGTTTTTTTTTGGGTGGGGGGGGGCCGAGGTCCTTTCATTTCTGATGCTTCCATCCTGGGCCTCGCCCGGGCCACTAGGGGGCCTGGTACGTCTAGAAACGAGCACAAATTAGAAGTGATCACGATTAGAAATGAACGACGTGTAGTGTGTGTGTGTGTGTGTGTGTGTGTTGCAGCATCTTGGGTCAAGTTTGGTCCTCCTCCCCTCTGTGCTCCTCCACCTGTTCATCCTCCTTCTCCTCTCGCTGCTACGCTCGCGCTGGCAATGGTCGCCGTCGCGTCTACCTCCTACTCCATTCTTTCTCCTTGTAAGTAACTTCTCCCTGTCGCACCCCGATTCCGATTTTCAGGGTGGGCCAGGCGTTTCGCTGGAGACTTTCAAGTATGATACCAATTTCACAGATGGAGGGCGGGTCGTTTTCAAAATGTGGCTCTCCCTTTAGCGACGCGCACATTCGTGTGCAACATTGCAAGAGTTTCACGGATTGAGGGCGAGTCGTTTTCAAACTGATGGTCTCGCCTTATCGCCGCGCGCATTCGCTTTACATATTTGCAAGAGTTTCAAGGATTGAGGGCGGTTCCTTTTCAACATGTGGCTCTCGCCGTAGCGCCGCGCACATTCGTTTAACATATTTGCAAGAGTTTCAGGGATTGAGGGCGGTTCCTTTTCAACATGTGACTCTCACCTAGCGCCGCGCACGTTCGTTATAACGATTTGCACAAGTTTCACGGATTCCCATGGTCAGCGTACCAGACATGATGTTTTGGAAGGGTTCAGGATTATGGGGGTGCACAAGTTATATTGATTCGCGGTGTTCAAGTCCCAGGAATGGCGTTCTGGCACGATCCAGGATCGTCAAGACGCAACAATCAGGTTGATCCGTGGCGTTGGAATACCGAGAACAGTGTTTTGGCATGCTTCAGTGTCTTCAAACAGTTAGTTGTTTTCCAACGAGGCAGTTCCATCAGTAAAAATGAACCATTGCCTATGAAGAGGGAGCTTTGAGGGAGGGTTTATTCCAACATCGTCGATGCCTCATGGGTTTACACTGGTCCTCTTCCTCCTCCTCCTCCTCCCTTCTCCTCCCTCCTCCTCCGTCTTCCTCCTCCTCCTACTCCTCCTTTCTCTTCCTCCTCCTCCTCCTCCTCCTTCCTCCTTCCCCCTATCATCCTGCTGTATCCCTTTCTCCGTCAACCTTATCCGCTCTCTCGTCCTCGCCTTCCCATCGTCCTCCTTTCTTCCTCCCGAGGAAAAGGAAAAGGGGGGAGAAGGGAAGGGGGGATGACGAGAGTAGGGGAGGAAGGAAGTGGGTAGTTGGGCGGTGGGGGGCTGGAGCAGGGAAGGATGACGAGGGGTGGGGGGAACCAGGGATCGGGACCCGGATAGGAGGGGAGGACATGAGTAGTGGGAGAGGGGAGACAAGCAGAAAGTTTTCAATCTGGAAAGAGGAGCGAAGGCGGAGCAGCAGAAGAGGGGGGGGGTGGGGGAGGGTGAAGGGGGGGAGGATGGAGGAGGGGAGCATGAGCGTAAGGAGAGGTTGGAGAGTCGGAGGAGGAGGAGGAGGACAACAGGAGGAGGGGGAGGAGGAGGATGAGTAGGAGGAGGAGAAGCAGCAGGAGGAGGGAGAGGAGAGGATGAAGATGAGGAGGAGGATGACGATGAGGATGAGGATTAGGATTAGGATGAGCATGCGTCTGCTGCTGCTGCTGCTGCTGCTGATGATGCTGCTGCTGCTGCTGATGCTGATGCTGATGCTGATGCTGATGATGGCGATGATGATGCTGATGCTGATGCTGATGCTGATGCTTACGCTGATGCTGCTGCTGATGCTGATGATGGTGCTGATGATGACGAGGAGGAGGAGGAGGAGGAGGAGGGGAAGGAGGAGGAGGAGCAATAGGAGGAGGAGGAGGAGGAGGAGGAGGAGGAGAAAGTTGAGGAGGAGGAGGACCAGTGGAAACCCAAGAGTTATCAACGATGTTGGAATAAACCCTCCCAAGCTCCCTCTTCATAGGCTCCTACAACGGTCCGTTTCCACTAAGGGAATTGCCTCGTTGGAAGACAACCGTTTGAAGAACCTGAAGCGTGCCAGAACACCATCCTTGAGACTTCAATACAGCGAGCCAACGTAACTGTTGCACCCTCATAATCTGGAATGCGTCCCGAAACACAATTTTTAGTACGCTGATCATGGGAATCCGTGAATCTCTTGCAGATTTGAAGAGCGAATGTGCGCGGCGCTATGGCGAGAGCCACATTTTGAAAAGGAACCGCCCTCAATCCGTGAAGCTCTTGCGTTTTTCTTGTATGTGTAAAAAACGAATGTGTGCGGCGCTAAGGCGAGAGCCACATTTTGAAAACCACCCGCCTTCAATCCGGGAAACACCTGCAAACTATTAAAACGAACGCGCTCGGCGCTAAGGTAAGAGCCACATTTTGAAAACCACCCGTCCTCAATCCGTGAAGCTTTTGCAAACAACTGTGCGCAGCACTAAGGTGTGAGTCACATTTTGAAAACTACCCGCCCTCAATCCGTGAAGCTCTTGCAACTTTTAAGACGAATGTGCGCGGCGCTAAGGGGAGACGCACATTTTGAAAACCACCCGCCCTCAATCCGCGAAGCTGTTGTCATTTTTAAAGCTTCAGGGCCATAGATGGTGAGGAGGTCTCAGGCGAAACGCCGGGCCCATCCTAGAAAAATGGCCTCGGGGTGCGACAGGGATAACTTCTTTATAAGGAACAATGATGGAGGAGGGGACGGAGGAGGAGGGGGAGGAGGAGGGCCTCGCAGGTGCCGCGATGGGGCCTGGCGGCCAGCATCTCTCACTCCTGGACCTGGACCGCGGCCGCGTCCACGTCGACCTCGCCGACATCGGAGTGGTCGTGAAGGACGAGGACTCTCCTCCCTCCCCCCCCCCGAGTCCTCGCGACGTGGCAAGAATCACGATGGTGTCTTGTTGGCAACTTTCGGCACTGTCACAGAACAGCCCAGAATGAAACACTGCCCATGGGGAAGTGGTCTTCCGAATGTCCATGTTGCGAATCACATCGCGGCGTCGGATGTCTGGGTCCTCCCTCCCTCCTTCCTCCCTCCCTCCTTCCCTCCCCCTCTCTCTCTCTCTCCCTCCTCCCTCCCTCCCTCCCTCACTCCTCCCCCCATCCCTCCCTCACTCCTTCCTCCCTCCCTCCCTCCCTCCCTCCCATGATGGAATATCATAAACATTAACTTTCGGAGGTCCGCGCTGATTTCTCGGGTCGGCGCCCCAGGCGCGGTCTGCTCGCCAGGAAAGGGTGTCCAGCGCCGATCCACGAAGTCCGTGCGTACCGCCGACGAAGGTTTATGCGCGTGCGGTGTCTTCTTCTTCTTCTTCTTCTGCTTCTTCTTGTTACGATTGTTATCCTTGTGTTTATTAAGACTAGTACTGTTACTGCTATTTTGAATGCTTTAGCTTCACCATTATTATTGTTGGTGTTGTTGCTGATGGTGCTAGCATGACCAATCATGTTACCAGTATTATAATTATGATTCGTATCATGGTGAGTCTTTTTGCTGTTTTCACGACCCGTAATAGTATTATTTCTTCTAGTGCTACTATTACCGTTATTGCTATCATCAATCGCATCATCATTAGTATTCGTGTTATTGACATTCTTATTTTGACTACGATTGTACGTATCAGTAGCATTACCATTATATTGATTGCTGTTTTGTATGGCTATTCTGATTCGGATTATTGAAATCATTTTTCGCAGTAGTATGATTACTCGCTCTCTCTCCTCCCTCCCTCACTGCCTCTGGCTCGTCTCAGGTTCCTTCGCCGCGCGGCTCCGATGCAGGTCGATGAGCCCACTGCACTCTTGGACGAAGAGCCCGACCACTCGCCCAAGATTGTGCTTCCTTCCCCTGAGAGGCTCCTGTCTGAGCGGTGGTTTAGTCAGCGTGCTGCGGCCGTCATGCTGCAGAGTTCGTGCATGTCTCTCGCCTCTCCAGGTGGCCGTGTTCTCGCAGAACGAGCCGTGCCGAACTGGCATTCGAATCGTCGCCTTCCGATCGAGCTCGGCCGCCGCACGCCCGCGCCGTGCGCCCGCAGTGCCTTCAGCTCCTCGCGCTTCGCGTGCCGAGCCTCGCCCCGCAGGTCCTGGGAGGCCTCCTGCTCAGGGCCTCGCCCCCTTAGCCTGTGGGTCTCGCGGGGGGGGGGGGGGGGGGAGCCCGCGGAGACGGTGCTCCGCCTCCGAGGGCCGCCCTGCTTGGGGGTGCTGGGAGCGACGCTCCTCCTCCCCCTCCTCCCTCCTCCTCTTCCTCCTCCTCCTCCTCCTCCTCTCCTCCTCCTCCTTCCCTCCCCCTCCTCCTCTCCTCCTCCTCCTCCTCCTCCTCCTCCTCCTCTCCTCCTCCTCCTCCATCTCCTCCTCCTCCTCCTCCTCCTCCTCCTCCTCCTCCTCCTCCTCCTCCTCCTGGCGCGGCCCCCCCAGGGGGCTCGCGTGCAGGCTCTGCGGCTCGTGCACGGGCGCGAGCCTGGATGAGGAGCGCGGGCCGCTGGTGAGCTCTCTGGAGGAAAAAAAACACAGGAGGTGGAGGTGGAGGTGGGGGGGCGAGGTGGAGGTGGGGGGGGGGCGGCGAACGCCGGAGCGCCAAGGGGCACCGCATCGGTGGTGACGCGACCTGCGGTGCGGGGTGCGGCTTTTGCTGTGGCGTCGATGCCGCCCGCGCCTTGATTGGCGCCTGGCGCTGCGGAGCGCGGCGGCGATCGTGAGCAGGCCGGGGGCGCCGTCTCCGTGGCGAGGGCGGGTCGACTAGACGTAAGAGTGACCCTTCGCCGGAGTGACCTTTGGTGCGTGCACATTGGGGTTCCCCGATCGCCGAACGCGATGCGCTGGTGGCGTCTTGCGCGCCTGTGTCTGGCCACCCCGCGGCCCCCCCAAAGCCGCGCACCAAAGGTCACTCTTGCCCAGGGTCACTCTTGCGTGCAGCCGGGCGGAGTGTGGCGTGAGCGTCTGCGCCAGCGTATGGCGACGGCGCGCGAGACGAGGGCTTGGGCAACCGCTGGTGCCGCTGGCGCTGGCGCTGGCCTCGCGCCTGGCGTGGCGGCGGCTGCCGAAGCAGTAGCCGGCGACGACGACGACGACGACGACGACGACGACGACGGCGGCGGCGACGACGACGACGACCACGACGATAACGGCATTGACCACACGGACGATTCGTGGGCCGGGGGGGTACGCGCAACCAGGCGGGACCTCGCTGCTCCCTGGGTGGTTGCGAGCTGCGTAGCTGGTGCCACTTCCGTGGGCACCTGGGGGGCACGTCGGAGTAGCGGAGCTCGCGGATCCAGAGGGCACTTCGCTGCTCCTTGAGCGGTTGCGACCTGCGCAATGGTCGCCACTTTCGCGGACGCCTGGAAGGCACGGCGGAGTAGCGGAGTACGCGCACCTCTCAGGACCTTGCAGTTGCCTGGGCGATTGCGAGCTGCGCAACTGATGCCGTTTTCGTGGGCTCCTGGGAGGCACGGCTGAGTAGCGGAGTACGTGCACTCAGACGGGACCTTGCAGTTCCTTGGGAGGTCTCCTGGCAGGTCGAACAGAATCGGGGGCCACGCGCTCCCTGTGTGGCTGCGGAGTGCGGAGCCGTCGCCACTTTCGTGGGTTCCTGGGAGGGCCAGCGGGGTTGGGTGCCACGCGGACCCAGACGGGACCTCGCTGCTCCCTGGGAGGCTGCGAACTGCGCACCCGTCGCCACTTTCGTTGGCACCTGGGAGGTCCAGCGGAGAAGGGGGGTACGCGCACCCAGACGGGACCTCGTTGCTCCCTGGGTGGCTGCGAACTGCGCAGCTGCCGCCACGTTCGTGGCCTCGTGGGAGGCATTGGCGGAGTCGGGGAGGACGCGCACCCGGCTGAGACCTGGCTGCTCCCCGGTATGCAGGAGCTGCGCAGCAGTCGCCAGTGTCGTTGGTTCCGGGGAGGTCCAGCGGAGTCGCGGCCCACGCGGATCCAGCCGAGACCTCGCTGCTCCCTGGCTGGTTGCGAACTGCGCAAGTGTCACCACGGTCGTGGGCTCCTGGGTGGTCCAGCGGAGTCGTGGGACATGGAGATCCAGCTGGGACCTCGCTGCTCCTTGGGTGGCTGCAACGTGCACGAGCACCTGTCGCCACTTTCGTGGGCTCCCGGGAGGTCCAGCGGAGTGGAGTGTGGGGACCTCGCTGCTCCCTGGGTGGTTGCGAAGGGCGGAGCTGTCGCCACTTCTCGTGGGCTCCTGGGAGGCACGGCGGAGGTGGGGGCAGCATCTGGCGATATGTGTTCTTGTGTATGGAGCGCTCATGCAACTATTCGCCTCGCGTGGAGAAGGGGTCGGTACTTCTCTTGTAGTTGAGTTTCATTTTGGTGCTAACGACCTTCCTGGTGTGTGTGTGTGTGTGTGTGTGAGTGTGTGGGGGTACTGCATGCTTCCTAGGGCTAGGTTTTATCCCTAGGCTCTTTCCCTAGGCATGCTTCTGGCCTACCCCTGGGCCCTTCCCTTAGGCCTACCCTAGGCTCCCAGGCCCTTCCCCTAGGCCTGCCGCAGGCCTGGCCTAGGCCCTTCCCCTACCCCTAAGGCCGAGGGTAGGCCTACCCTTTCCCTGGGCCCTTCCCCTTCCTTTGGCCTACCCCATAGGCCTCCCCCTGGGCCTGCCTTGGGCCTGCCTCGAGGCCCCTCCCCTGGGCCGCTCCATCGCCTGGCCTGGCCTGGTCGTGCGCTTGTCGGCCTCTCTCTCTTGCGCTCCTGCAGCTCCTGAGTAGTAGCCCGCGGCATGTAACACACACATACATCTTCGGAGGTCCTCGCGTAGCTCCGAAACTCTTGCTTACATCGTTGTCTCTTCCTCTCGCCCTCCTCCTTCTTCGTCGTCATCCTCGTCCTCGATGGGGACCCCCCAATTGCGGTGAACACACACACACACACCGTGTGGTGGGTGAACACACCGTGTGGTGGGTGAACGCATGGCTTTGGGACTGGGCTGCTATCCGAGGGCGCCTCGGGCGGCTGGGGCCTCCAAGGTTCCGAAAGTGTGCGGTGACGGACAGTGCTGTGAGGTCATTGGGAATTTCGAGTTCACCGCGCCGTTTCGGGGCCCCCAGCCGTTCTCGTCCGTCCCCCTCCCCTCCTCTGGGGCAAGTTCGGCCCGCAGGGCATTACTCCTCCTCCTCCTCCTCCTCCTCCTCCTCCTCCTCCTTTCCTCCTCGTTTTTCAGATCTCCCTTTTTGTTTCAATCGGTGTTTTTTTCTCGTTCTCCCTTGGGGGGAATGATCGGGGCCCAGGACCATCAGCACTGGATCAGGGTCGAAGAGCTACCCCCGGGGAAGTGGTCTCGACATCTGGAGCCGCGGATTAAAGACATGGTTTAGCGCACGAATAATGGTATGACATAACCTTTCCCGCCATCGGGGACGCCTTCCCCAGGGCGGCTGAAATATACCCCTACGGTGGCACGCCAGGGTATCAATTTTCCAGCCGCCCCGGTTGGAAAACGTGTTTTGCGGAAGCTCTTCCCTGGCTCGTGTGATTGCATACCCGGCGACGTACTGCGGGCCCTCACGACATTTGGATTCCCCGAGAGTTTCCCGGACGTCCAGGCCATTGCCAGCGTCTTGAAGGTGCGGGTGGCCTTGCTCGAGGCCCACAGCAGCGGTGGACTTCGCGTGCTGCCGCGCGCAACGGCCCTTCGGGAGACGATGCGCGACCTCAACAGCATACGGCGGTTGGGCGCCCGCTGGGCCTGGGCCGCGTCGTCATTTTTATTCTTACTGGAGGCCGCCGTGCTCTCGTTCATGGCATCGGGGGATTTCGTGGGAATGCTCCTCGACCCGTCCGCCGAGGAGTCCTGCAGGGCAGGATGGCAGGCGCGCGCCCTGCGTGCAATGCAGCTGACCTACTCCGTTGCCGCCGAGCGGGCCCTTCGGCGACAGCTGGACAGTTTGTGGCTCGATACGTTGCCGGGGCGCCGATGCCAAAGGCTACTGAGGGCCCTAGGCAGCATCAAGGCGTTGGTGCCGCCCCGGGTGTTGGCCGCGGTATTGCGGTCCAACCTGAACGGCGGGATGACGGCACGGAGGTTTCAGCGGTGTGGTAAATGTGTGCTCGGCCAGGCGCGTGCCGACGATTCGCTCCATCACCACGCGCAGTGCCCGCTCTATCAGGAGCTGTGTCGGCAGCACTTTCGTCTGGAACGCCCCGACTCGGCCGTGGCTCTCGACGACTTCGTGCTCATCGCTTCGGCTGCGCGGCAAGTGCGCGTCGACGGGCCTCCGCTCGACGGTGCCGTTGCCTCGGCGCTCCGGGCCCTGAGCGCGTATGCCTTGCACCGCGCCCGTAGTGCTGCCCGCAATTCGCCTGGGACCTTTTCCGCGGCTGCGTCCGCGAAAGGGCCCCGAGTCATGCCAAAGCCATGTCTTTGATCAGCGCGGTGCACAAGCGCTGGCGCCAAGACTAGCCTCTCCTCCTTCTCCGGGGTTGGGTGGGTCTTGGGGTCTGTCGGGTCCTGGGGTGTTATTGGGCGTTGTTTTGTCGGTTTGTCGGTTTCTCTCTTTGTCATTTTCCCGCTTTCTGCAGTTCGTGCGGTTTTTATGTTGCATGTTAGGGCACCTGGTGCTGGTTCCCCCTCCTTGCGATCTCGCGGCTGGGGCCAACTCGGCGGCCGTGCATGGGCACTGCGGTGCTCGTTTTGAGATCGGATTTGAGTGTTTTCATTTGTGCTGTGCAGGCATTGTGCATGAACCTCCCGGAGCCTGGGGCGGGGAGATTTTGTTTACCTCAGTTCGGACCCTATGGATGCTTTTCGCTTCCTTCCTCCCTCCTCCTCGTCCCGCGCGTGCACTGCCGTGGTCGTGTGGGCGCCCAGGCTGACAGGCAGTCGGGCGATGACCTCCGTGGCCTGCTCGCCCTCCCCTCCTCTTCCTCCTCCTCCTTCCTCCTCCTCCTCCTCCTCCTCCTCCTCCTCTTGCTCTGGCGTATAGCTGCCCGAATTTCCGCCCCGAGTTTCGGCCACGCTCGCAGGACATACGTTCTGCTGGAAACCGTGGTTTCTGTTTCTAGGTGGCATCCCAGCCAGCGCCGTCACGACAGGTAGCGCAAATTCACGTGGCGACTCACGGAACTGTAGTTGCCTCATTATCACCCAATAGCTGTCCAGCCGCCTTGGGACAGGCGCCCCCGATGTCGGAACAACTTCTTGCACACCGTTCTTCGACCGCTAATTCAACCTCATCAGCCTCCTCTTCCTCCTCCCTTATTCCTTCTGTGCGTTCTTCTTTTCCTGCTCCCCCTTCTCCCCCCTTCTCATCTCCCTTTCTGACTGTTCCTTTTCTGGCAGTGGAGTGGCCATTGAAGAGGATGCCCTGTCCAGGGTGGCACGACTGCGCCTTGCTGGCCCCGGCGTTGCCTTCCTGATGCTTCTGCTCGTCGTCGATATCCTTCTTTAGTTGCTCTCCCTCCTCCTCCTCCTCCTCCTCCTCCTCCTCCTCCTCCTCCTCCTCCTTCTGCTTACCCTCCTCTTCCTCCTTCTCCCCCTATTCCGCAGGAGGGCGGTGACATCGACTTCCGCGGTGAAACCTCGGCATCGAAGAAGCCAAAGCGCAGCAACACGTCCTATCGCAAGGCGCCTTCTCGCCGGGCGAGCGTCGCGGTCATGGACGAGGTCATCCCAGTCCTCGAGCAGGATTTCAAGAGCACGACGCAGCAGCTGAAACTGGCCCTGGCCAGTTTCAAGGACAAGCAGAGGGCCATGGATGTGGCGAAGAGGGAGACGACCGTGGCTATGAAGTTACTCCGCCAGGAGGCAGAAAAGCGCCGCCGTTCAGCTACGGATCGCAGGATGGCCAAGCAGAAGGAGCTTCAGACCTTCAATGAAGCCAAGCGCACCGCAAAGGAGGCAATGGTCAAGAAAGCGCAGGCGCTCATGGCCTCGAAGGGCACGGATGCGAACGGCATGATGAGCTCATTATCTTTGGGCATCATGGTGGACGTGCTGATGGCTCTGCCTACGGCCGTGGAGAATCCGATCTTCAGTAAGCGTCTAGTGAGGTCGAAAGAGCAGGCCGTGGCGTCCGTCCAGGACTTCCTCAACATCACGCGCCGCAAGACGTCGAAGTTTGTGCTCGCGAGCAGCAAGGCGTCCGATGTGGAGCTCTCGTTCTTGATGGCACGCTACTTTCACGAAGCATCTTTCCGTGTCAAGGCGATGCAGTCGGACGCGGAGAAGATTGCCAGGGACCTCAACGTTGTGATGCCGCGGGAGCTTCGGCAGAGCTTCCTGCCCATCGTGAGGAGCTTGCGCGCGAACGCGGTCCCGCTTCGCGTGAACGCCAGCGATCTCGCGAAGGCGACACTGCCTGAGGCGTGCAGTCAGATCTCCAGCCTCATGGCGAACATCAGCGGCTACAACAACAAGCTCGACTCGATGCACACTGGCCTGCACAACCTCTGGCAGCTCTCCGAGCTGATGCTGCCGCACATGAGCAAGGTCTACCCCATGAAGACAAGCGTCATTGACACCGTCAAGGACTTCATGTCTATGGCGACCACCCAGGTCGCCGGTCTGCAGGAGTCGGCGGACGAGATCGTGACCAACGTCGGCCCGATCGTCATAGAGCGCATGCAGTGCACCTGGTCCGCTGCGCACGCCCGCAGCGGCCTCGGTCTGGTGGCGGCGGCGCTGGCCAGCACCCTCTTCGCGTAGGCCTAGAGCGCCCCTAGCCGCGGCGTCCCTCCGAGCGCCAGGATGCAGAGGGGATGGCAGGGAGGGAGGGAGGGAGGGAGGGAGGGAGGTGGGAGGAGGGAGGAGGGAGGAGGGAGGAGGGAGGAGGGAGGAGGGAGGAGGGATGGAGGGAGGAAGGGAGGGAGGGAGGAAGGGAGGAGGGAGGAGGGAGGAGGGAGGACGGAGGAGGGAGGAGGGACTCATCCCACTAGGTTTTCGGACGTTCCCAGCGGTGTTCCAGCCTCGGAGTGCGTTCCAGCAGCTGCGCCTCGCCGAGGGCGTGCCCAGATCGTCCCCGAACGGCTGCGGGAGGCTGGAGTTCTGGCCCGAAAACCACCAGGGCACCGCCAGACATCATCTGTACACCCCCTCCTCTTCCTCCCCATCCCCCGCTTCCTTCCTCCTTTTACTCTTCCTTCTCCGCCTCTGCATTACTTATGGCTAGCTCCTCCTCGTTGCGGCACCTGGAGTTTCTGTGATGAGGGCGGTCTGTGCGTTTCTTTCGAATCTGTCTTCCGCTTGATGCTCCCAGGGCATTTTCCACATAACCTAACACGGGATTCTTGTTTTTACGTGGACGCCACCAGATTTTTCCTCACTCACTCCTCCGCTTTTGCCCCACTCAGATTATTCACATATTCATGTCAAGATCACTCACGCCCGGCTCATACTCACATCACTCCTCCTCCACCCCCCTCTCTCATATCACACTCAGACTCACCCATACGCGGATTCAGGCGTACTCAGACTGATTCGTGCTCAGAGTCGCTCCTCCTCACTCAGACCCAACAGTGATAACACACATCACACTCAGACTCACTCATATTTGGAACCACACATACTCAGATTTATTCATCCTCAGAGTATCGCTTCCTCACTGAGACTCAGTCGCGCTCAGACTCACGCATATGAAGGCCCACTCACACTCAGACTGACCCAAACTCACTCACACTCCGACGTTTTCTTTTTGTGGTGATCCATTGCTCACCGCGATCTAGCAGGCGTGGCATTTGGGTACCCCAAGGGGGAGCAGCCAGAGGGGGGGGGCAAACACTCCAGGATTCGCGCCCGGATTGTGGGGATGTCTCAGGAGGTTTGCTTGTTCCTGCCTCACAGACTTGTCTATTTTGGTGTTCCAGTGCTCATCACGATATGGCAGGCGTTGCATTCGGGCACCCCGAGGGGGAGCAACCAGATGGGGGGGGGCAAACACTCCAGGATTCGCTTCCAGATTGTGGGGATGTCTCAGGCGGTTTGCTTGTTCCTGCCTCACAGACTTGTCTATCATGGTGGTCTTGTGCTTATCACGATATGGCAGGCGTTGGTTTTGGGCACCCCAAAGGGGGATCAGCCAGGGGCGGGGACACTCCAGGATTTGCTTCCAGATTGTGGGGATGTCTGAGGCGGTTTGCTTGTTCCTGCCTCACAGACTTGTCTATTATGGTGGTCTTGTGCTCATCACGATATGGCAGGCGTTGCATTCGGGCACCCCAAGGGGGGATCAGCCAGGGGCGGGGACACTCCAGGATTCGCTTCCAGATTGTGGGGACGTCTCAGGCGGTTTGCTTGTTCCTGCCTCACAGACTTGTCTATTAAGGTAGTCCAGTGCTCATCACGATATGGCAGGAATTGCTCTTGGGCACCCCAAGGGGGAGCAGCCAGGAGTGGGGACATTACAGCATTCGCTTCCAGGTTGGGGGATGTCTCAGGCGATTTTCCTGTTGCTGTGCCCTGCAGACTTGTCTCTTTTGGTGGTCCAGCGCTCATCACTATAGGGCAGGCGTTGCATTTGGGCACCCCAAGGCGTAGTCGCCAAGGTTGGGGACATTCCAACATTCGCGCCATGATTGTGGGGATGTCTCTGGCTCTTTGCCTGTTTCCGTGCTCCGCAGACTTGTCTCTTGTGGTGGTCCAGCGCTCGTCACGATATCGCAGGCGTTGGATTTGGGCACCCCCAGGTGGAGGCGCCAGACTTTCATGTTGTTTGCGGCCCACTGCAAACCGCGACACGCTTGACGAGGAGTACGGGATAACGTTGCCGAAGGTAGCCGCTTTAGCCCTCGGTGGGGTGCGGGCGGTCTTGCTGGAGCTGGCTCCGAAGAGCAACTGGATTGTTTTTTTTTTGTTGTTTTTCCGTTGGCATTGCGTGAACGTGCCCAGGCTGTTGGCCCGATGCCAAGTGCTGACAGCTTCTTGTTTCCAGTTCCTCTAGCCGCGCCTTGCCCAGTTCGCCTCTTGCCCAGCCACGCCCTGCCCGATGCCAAGTGCTGACAGTCGCCTGACCTATCGGCCTGGTGCCAAGAGCGGACGGTCTCGCCCGACGGCACGTCTCGACGTCTCGACGGGATCGTTTTCAAAATCGCGCTCTCGCTTGGGACACCCCCAGACAGTGTGATCTATCAGAGGTTGAGGTTGATGCTCGGACATCGGGTTCGGTTTTGGTTTCGGGTTGTGTCCTGCGTGGTGCGTCGTGCGCTCGTGGATCAGCTGGGCGGGTTCTTGCCCCAGCCTGGCCGAGGGAGAGACAGCTTGCCCTCCGCGCCAACGTCCAGGGCGTGCGCGGGGGTTGGCTTGCTATTTTACTGTGGTTGTGTGTCGCTTCCCCTCCTCCTCCTCCTCCTCCTCCTCCTCCTCCTCCTCCTCCGCAGCCATTTTGGCTCAAGATGCCTAGTTCCACAGTGGAACAAGTGGATACCGCTAGTCCGCGGCCAGTGCCAGGGCTCTTGAGCCCGACAGCTTTGTTCAACTCTCCGTGTGCCTCCTGCAGCCCGCAGGTGAGCTTCCTCAGTCTCTCTCGTCCATGGCGCCACCGCAGCAGCGCAGCGCCTATGTCAAGTGCTATTCCTGCTCGTACTCCTGGAACTACAATACCAACCAGACGTGCTACTGGTGCAGCAAAGCCTTGGCGCCGTGGACAGACCCCCCGCCTCCAGTTCAAGGCGCCTGGGCGGCCCGCGCCAAGGCCGCAGCCCAGGCCGACTCCAGCTGTACCCAGCAGCCCAGCCCCGAGACGGGATGGGAACCGTGGTCGTCCTGGCCCAAGTCCCGCCGCCGCCGAGGCAATGGCAATGGCAAGAACCAAGAGGACGACTGGTGGGCCAACAATAACGACACCCCCAAGGTGCGCTCCGCAGAGGACATCCTTGCGGAGCTCCAGGCGATCGCCCCCCACATCGACAAGGCAGCCATTGACGGTTTCAAGTCGCAGATCCCGCCGCCCCAGCCGCAGAAGCCAGCCGACCTCAACGACATCTACAGCCGCGCCCAGGCCACGGAGCGCCGCTGCAAGAACAACCTGGAGAGGCTCCTCGAGAGTGAGCAAAAGGCGCTCAGCTGGTACACCGAGCGCAAGGCGGCGTCGGAGGAGGCCGCCTACAAGTTGGCAGAAGCCCAGGCCGAGGCTCAAGCCGCTCTCGATGCCCTTCAAGTCGCTCGCAAGGGCGGCACGGCCACTCCCAAGGCCTCGCAGCAGAACCCGACGTTCAACCTCACCAGCCTCCTCGAGGACGGTGACATATCCATCGAAGCGGGTTCGGCGTTCGATCTCCAAGGCCTTGACATCGACGACAGCGATCGCCAGGCATGGGAATCCCTTCAGCAGCGCTTCGCCACGGAGCTCAAGGCCAAGGTCACCGAGCTCTTCGGCAACACCGCCAGCCGCATCAGCCAGCTCCGCACAGAGGCCAGCACCATGCGCACGCGCTTCGCCGCCAAGCGTCAGCGGGCCGACGAGGACGGTCACGCCAGAGAGGGAGGTGGATCTCAGCCCGCCGCCTCGGCGGCAGCAGGCGAACCCCCAGCGGCAGCCGCAGCGGACGTTGATGGCTCTGCGGCCTCATCGACAGCGGCGCCAGGCGATGAGCCTCCCGCACCTGCTGCTGGCGCTTCTTCTGACGGCAGCTGCGCTGCACAGCCTGTACCAGCGATCAACAAGGACCCCGACCTCGAAGACAAGGCACAGAAGATGCTCAGCCAGATGCGCAAGCCCACCGCGACCGCCGCGGCTGGAGCGCAGCAGCCTCTTTAGCCGACTACTACCCGACCCTGGACGGAATGGTGAGACGGGGCGCCTACCGTCAGAGACCAAGAAATACGACAACCCACCGATCATCAACACAATGGACGCAGTCCTCGACCCGTTCGACGAGCTGGCCGAGTTGGACGCCCACATCGATTTCGCAGCCACAGTTCAGTTTGCTACCGCCCCGCCCGAGACGCTGTCCTCGGTTGGGGGCGATGAGGCGGCGCAGTCCGCCGACGCAGTACTATGGGACCCAGGGCAGCCGCAGCGTGCTGCGCGAGCCGGCCCTGATGCCGCTCCGCCCGAGACGCTGTCCTCGGTAGGGAGTGATGAGACGGCCCAAGCTGTCGACAAGCAGTTGGTACAGGAACCAGGGGATCAGGTGCCAATGGCACACCCTGATGCCGCCCCGCCCAAGACACAGTCCTTGGTAGGGGGCGATGAGATGGCGGAAGCCATCGACTCGACCGCTGTGGAAGGTCCATGGAAGCCCAGCAGCCCGAGACCCGACCCCAGACCCGTCTACCAAGACGGAGGCCCTACGAATCCCACGCCGTCAGATCACTCCCTTTTCTTCTCCAACATTACCCAGTGGGGGCCACGGTCGGAGAAATGGTTGGCAGGACCAGGCAAACAATATCAGATGGTGGCATTGGTTGAAACACACATCTCGCACGGTAAGGCCCCTCTCATCTACGACAAGCTAGCAGCTGGTGGTTGGAGGATATCATCGACTACAGCCACGCCGACCAGCAGATCCGACGGAGGCAACACGGGCGGCGAGATCATCCTCTCCAGGTACCACGTCCAGGCCACAACCTTCAACCACCTCCGCGACCTGGCCATCTCCCAGCGCAGGCCCGACCCGTTCCGAGGCTTCACGCCCATGGTATGGCACAGACGCTCGGGCAACCTGGTCGTTATTGCAGCATACCTGGAACCCCACAGGCAGATCGAGGGTGCAGTGCACGATAAGCTACTCTCGCTGGGGGCCTTCGTTACTAT